ACGCAACGCAACGCAACGCAACGCAACGCAACGCAACGCAACGCAACACAACAAGGATATGAAATTTTCTTGTCCCGGAGCAGCGAAATTAGTTTCCTCAACATATGTATCCCGCGCGAGAACTAGTAGATATTCGTATCCTAATAAATAACCTTTATTTCGTTTTCTTTTGTAAATTGCAGCAAGCGTTTTCAGCCAACTATGTTTTTTTCCCCAAAATTTGAGGTTGATTTATGGGTGCTTTGCAGATTCAGATAAGTGAGTCAGAGATGTAAAATTTTGTTGTAGGAGAAGCAAGGAAAAGTGTTTTTGGAGACAATTCATCGTGGAAGGATGGACAAATCTCTGACAAGGTTACTATTGGTGAAGACACAGAAGTTAGACTGATTCGCAAGGGAGTAGCAAGGTAAGAACGTTTCTCTGGACGGGGAAAGCGTGATTCTTCCAGTCTCGGAGTTTGTACAGTGCACACCTCAAATGCACAATGTTGTTTTCCGTCAAGGGTCCGGTTGGTCAGGGATACTGGACGCCATCCCTCGATAATTGTAGCCTGAATTTTTGTTTAATTGCAGGCTAGTGGTCGAAGGTGAAGTAATAACTGTTTATCACACCCTGGAGAATTCCCGAGTCTATCACGAGAAAGATTTAGACAGTGTGGAGTTCGGGTTAGAGGTAAGGTTGTTTGCTGACTTGTCAAGAATCTGTTGGTGTAGTTTGTTGTGTGTTGTCGCGTGTTTTTCACGACTTCCCTCGTCGTTGAAGTACCTGGTAGTGGTCAGACTTAACTTAACTTAACGCAACGTGACGCAACGCAACGCAACGCTACGCAACTCAATGAAATTTTAGGTCACCGTACAGAGAAATCATCTGATACTTATGATACTTGCTATCTGTTAAATTAACCTCAGGTCTTCAATTACCCGTCTTTTCGTTTTGTTGCGTTACAGAACTACCCGGTAGTGGTCAAACGTAACTTGACCCAAATCCCGTGTAGGTTTTTTCATTTTGTTGGATCTTTCAAGAACTTGCAACGTCCAAGATGTTTGTAAGGACATGCTAGGAACAGCGCTAACTAAAAAACGAGTCGATGCTCAAAACTGCAGAAGAGAGCAAGGGGATAACATTACAAAGTGTCCGTACATGTTCAACGGACAAAGTTGAAAACAACTGAGTATGATTGTGTTTATGGTCTCTGTCAATTTGGCTTCAAAGTAGGTCTTGGACATGAGATTGATACTTGCTTCTGACAGCGGTAGTTTTGGCGGGAAATACACGCGTGCTCTTCCTGTGGGTCCGAATGGTTTTCATGCTAGCCAATCAGAGGAAGCCCAGCCAGTCCCGAAAGTTGTCACGTGAGGAAGGATGTTGCTAAGCAACAGCTACCCTGAAAACTGTGGGCTGGTGAATTGAAAAGCTGCCTGCTACTTCCACACTTTGAAGGAATTTTAGGGTGCCTGCTTTGCAATATCTGTCAACACCAAATAATTGCATTAAAGAATTGCTTCTCTTTATTTAATAGAAAATACCTTCAAATATTTGCATATGTTCCCCTGTGTCAGTGACTCCAAAAAAATCGCTATAGTGGCATGCTATCTTTTCCAAGCTTCAGGATTTGAAATCATCTTTTGCACTATTATTTTTCAGGCTGGACCGGTAGTGGAGAGTATCTTGAGAAGTTTTCCGGATTATATTAAAGTGAAAGACCTACCTCACGATGACATCACTTACAAAGTAAACCATCTTCACTTTTTGTCTCTGCGGTGTTCTCTTATAGCTTACTTAAATGCGGTTGTTTTCAGGTGAAGATTGAATTTTGCTGTTACTGTTCCCGGTTTTGCTTATTTTATTTCTTCAGATTGACCTGGTCACGTTGCTTTACGAGAAGGGCATCCTCGTCAGAAAGTGAAAAATATTCAGTAGAGACTGTGGTCCCCTTTGTGATTTCATTCCGTTTGGCGAACATGGCTGCGCGCAAAGACTTGAACGCGGAGTGATCTTTGCCAGACAACATCATGACTGACGAAAGACTGGGAAGAGAGGGATAAAGAAGACCTCACTCCGCCAACCTGTCCCTCACCAAGACAACAATGTGAATCTCTTTTTCACTGTAGCCTCCCTTCGAGATCTAAGATACCCATCACGCATGGTTGTTAACTCAAGAGAATTAAACAGCAGTAAATTCCTTTCTTTTGCACCCAAAAGTTTGCCTGTGCTAAAAGTTTATGTTTGGTGCAACCATTTTTGAGTTTCGGTGATAGAACCATGTTTTGCATAGCGCATCTTGTACAATTAAGCCTAGTTTTTTTTTTTGTTTTTTACATATATCTTGACCTAGTAAATATGTCTTGGTCCACACAGATTATCGTGCTGTAAAAGTACTATATTTGAAATTTTTGTTAAGAATAAAACTGAAATATTGAACTTAGTTTTCACTTGCGATAAGCGATATTTTCTAGTCACGCGTTCCGCGTAGTTCTGGCCCTCTCTCTGTCACGCAACGCTACACTGTACTTTGTGCAACAGAGAGGCGGCCGTACAACTCGGGGCATGCGCAGATCTACTGTAGTGTAAAAAGTGCGCAAAGCTGAAAAAAAAGGGAGTATCTGAGATGATAGATAATTATGCAAAAATATCATGTTTGCAAGTAAGTGCTGTTACTTCAAATAGAGACAAACAGTGTGGAGAGAATTGTAATATACATTAGGGTAGTTATTTGTAAACAGTAATAAAAGGCAATTGATTTTAGGAACTTTTGTTTTGTTCTCGTTTTAAGTTTTCTCAATTTGCAATGGGTACAGCGAGTTATAGCTTGGGTAAGAATGTGACATCTAGAAATCTTAACTTGAATCCAGACCCCAGTTGTTCAAAGGCTGGATAACGCTATCCACCGGATAAATCGCTATCCAGGGGATAAGTAATAACAAAACAAACCACGCAATCCACTGGATAAGATAGCGTTATCCACCTTTCGAACAACCCGGGTCAGACTTTGAATCGTGTTTTGCATTCGGTAAAGTTTGGAGAACTACTCCAGGCTATCGTGGAAAATTAATATTTATTAAAAACTGGATCAATGGATAATGGATTCGAGAGTTTTCATTAGCTTAGCCATCATATCATGATGGCTAAGGGTTTTGAGCCATTGTATCATGCCCTACAAATATGGTAAGGGTACGTGTGATGTTTTAGGGCGTTTCTATTTTTGTTTCAGTTTTTCTCTATTTCTGGGGCGTTTTTAACAACAACAATTATTCCACTCACGCTTGTTGGATAAGAGCTGATTATAGCCAACGCGGCGCTATGCACCTCGTTGGTTATCTGCCATCTCATATCCCACGCGCACTCGGGAATAATTGTTAATTATTTAGGTGGTTCGCGGACCACCTGATCATGACTAAGACTAAGAGAAGCGAAGGGTTGTTGGGACGAGAACGGCTAGGTGTTTCTTCTCTACTAGGTACAGCTTAGCTTTTTGATTAATGGGGGTCTGACTAAAGGGACTGGATTCAAATATCTACTAATTATAATATTAATTTGATAAATAATGTATAGACTGTTCGATCGTCGAACGCGGGGAAAGAAGCGCTAGAGAACTAGACGCAAGCGCGAAACTGCACCCGCGCTTGCTTCCCTTGCTTTTTCTATCGAGTGCGTTGAAAAATAGACAGGCTAAAAGTAAAAAGCTAAAAGTATGTTGATTTTAAGGTGAGATTTTGTAATAAGTGCGGAGACTTAGATCGGATGGCGAGCGACGCGAGCCAGCCATGATACTGTTATAGTGGAATGCATTTACTGATATATCATCTGAGTCCTGGAGAAGAAACCTCTCTGTTTCCGCACTGATAGCGCGGATTCTGGGAACGAGATTGAGTGGGTGTTAAAGACCCGCATTGCCTTTTGGGAATGATTGATGAGTTGGCCGAAAAAAAGTACTGATTCGTCCAGCATGGCGGCGAATAGTTCCACTTTACAGAAGGAAACTGGGGGAAATCAACATGAATCTGCGATCGAACTTCCACCACCATACACTTCAGTGCCACAGTATCAAGTGGAAAACCCAGCAGTGATACATAATCCCACAGTACAACAACAGAACAATGCGTGGTATCCTCAGGGAATAAATTCAGGTTATCCTCCATTTTCCTATCCTGGAGGGAATCAACCACCGCCTGGATATTTTACATATAATGCTACTGCGGCTCCTTCGAGACCTGGCGTTCAGCTGAGCGAAGAAGAAGGCCATCGAAGGCAAGAGGCAGCGATTCGACATGGAATCGCTGCGTCGGTGGTGAGAAGGCCGTTCGGCCGACGAAGCTGCACTTATCGACTCATTAGACTCGGTATCACGTTGTTCCTTCTGGGAGTTACACTGCTCATTGTTTTGGGCGTTTTAATCGTCCGTCCCGCCTTGAACGACACGCAGCTTAAGAGCGCTCAGTGTAAAGTCATCTCCAGCTTCATGACCGGTTTTACAAAAGCTGCGACTGTGGACGGTATTGCTCTTCAAAATATCCTTGTCTTGAAATACAAGTTTCTTATGACGCCGACGGAAAGAAAAACACAGCTTACCTATACAGAAACGTTTATGCTGATAAAAATCAGGTGAGAATTGTTTTCTCTTTCCCAAGAACGCTAAATATAAATTAATTTATTGTGAGTCTTATGTACATTTATCAATAACAAATTGCGTGATAAAATTTTCAAACCATGCCAAAGTGTTCTTCTTGGAACAGATACATTGATAACTGGAATTGTGCATCAGTCAATTCCAGCAGTGCCCATCCCCCTCCGGGCAACCGCGGGGCATTTGCTCACGTTGTCAGTCCCGGGGGTGGGGCATCCGCAATTTTATTGCGGCCCGGGGGCTGGGCATTTGTGTACCCCGGGGCGATCCCCGGGCATTCGACACACGTGTTTTGGAAAGTGCCATGGATGAGTTCATCGGGAAAGACGAGGCGTTTGTCGAACAATGGTTTCTCAATTTTAGATATTTCTTCATTACTTGTAAGCATATAAATATAAGCGACAAAGTGAACTATATTTTGTTTATCACAAAGCAATCACTGACATGAACACGACTATTTCGCATTTCGCATTCAAAACTAGCCTAGCATTTTTTAAATTCATG